TCAGCCCTGGGGCCTAAGCCGACACTCATAATGACCTTTCCTCATACCGTGGAAGTTTGGTAAGGGGAATGGTAGAGCCGTAAAGTGAGAGGGCAGGAGGAAGGTGGCAGGTAAGTGCCACTTGCTTCTCACTAAGGGTTGAGTTATATAAATCAGGGTGTTGGGAGACACAGCTGCCCAGCAGGTCAAGGACAGGTACCTCCCAATGCAATGGATCGCCATGCTGGAGACAAGATTCCTGACTCTGCCATCCAGACAAGGTGCTCCATTCACCACATCACCCACATCACCTAATCTCTCTAGCTTACAGTTTCCTTCTCTGAAGAAAAAAAGAGGGGAAAACAGGAAAAAAGGAGGCAAAGGAAAAAAATATAAAAGGAGCTATGTATTGGAATGTATGATTTCTATGGTATTGTATTCTGTAATAATTCTGACTGTCCTGACTGGTTAAGACAGTAAGAAAGGAGATTCCCAATTTAAAGCCTGTATGAAATCTAGAAGCAGAATTCTTTATACAAGTCAGTTTTTAGATCTCTCCCATTTGGAGAATGTGAAAGACATACAGATCTTTTGGGCTTGAGATTGCCAAGGTATCCACATCTAGTTATAATAAAAATAAATGTTCAAATTAAAACAACAAGCAGGGAATCGGAAGCTAGGGGGAGGACCAATGTGGCTGAAGGAGAGTGCAGGAGAGTGAGGGGATCTATATGGAATGGGCTATTTTGTTGAGTGAAAACATGTGCTTCTGATTTCTTTTGTGTGTGGAAGCAAGAGGGGCCCTATAAAGACCCAGATTGCAAAACACCAAAAATGTAACTGGTCTCTTTTTTAAATTAGTACAAATTACCTATAGATGTTTCTACAGCTAAAGGCAGAATACACATAGAATTAGTAAAACAAATGTGTATTTTGTATTATTTATTTCAGGGATAAGGTTATTATTTATCCTAGGAGTAGAGTCCATATAAAAGAAGAAGTGACAACATGTAAGACCAAGGACAGACTCATAGAGGCTTCAAGGTCTTCTAAAATGAGGGAGTCTGATTTTCTTCTACAGTGTAAGAAAGCAGGATGTTATTTTTTCTTTAGTGTTTTGTGTATCCTTTCCCTGACATGATTTCTTCTGCTTGCTTTGCGTGTTCAGATGACTGAGGTACTTTCCATGGTACGGCTCAACATGCTTTTTATAATGATTGTTATGCTGCCCTACCATAAGCTTTTCAACTGAAAACCAAATTGTCCCCTCATGCTCTGATGCTGAGGCTGCAGGTGAGTCATTCAAATGGGCTGTGAGAGCTGAAAGCCCCTTGGCGGTGAGGTTGTCCAGCTCAGGGTCATGCTGTAAAAAGCAGAGCCAGCTCCATATTACAAATACAAACTGCTGGTACCAGTCACAGGAAGATACTCCTTATTTTGCCACTTTTTAAACTTGTTATCTAGTCAGGATGGTATAAAATGGACAAAACATTTTCTAAACAGTTCAAGTAAATGGCAAAGACTAGGAACATCTAGAATAGTGATGGTGAACCATCAGAAGTGCAGCTATAATAATTGTCTGAAAAGGATCATCCTTTATAAAGTCAGGGAACTCAACTGCACAGTGTGATTTAATCACACTATGCTTACATGTGTTATACTTCTCAGGTGTTTCTTTTTTTTATCCATTTTAATCAAGATAGGAAATAAATGTTTCAGTCTTCTAGAACCATTTCAAATGTAAATTCTATAAACCTCCTAAAAAGGTTTGAGTTAAGAAGAGGCATACGATTTGCAGCTGTTTCGTAATTTTCAAATCATTTAGAAATAGTCCTGAGATTAGTTCCATATACCATAAAAACAACAGGACAACTTTGTAAAAAAAAATCACATTTATCCATTTAAGGATAAATGAGGTCTGACCAAGGGCTTGGTATTACATAGACCCAGTTCCTAGAGAATCCTTTCCTGTGACATTGAGGGCTATATTTATTCTAAACATCTACTATAAAATTATATAAAATTATGTATTCTTTACCCTTTCTTAAAAGGGGTGCAAGCTCTGTATATAATCCTGGGTTGAAGAGTAATTCAAATAAGCCCTTTGGTGTATGTTGCATACAAGAAGGCTTTACAAGATCTAATCTTTGCTAAACCTGTTATGTTCTTTGGTTCAGCAGAGCTTCCTAATTGTAGCTATTAGTTCCCCCTTTTCTGTGGTCTGTTCTGTCAATAGACTATTGAGTGTTCAGTAAATTAAGCCCAACCAGCAGCCAATACATCAAGACAGACGTTAAATCATAGCTTGGCTGCCCTTATTCATTATTTGTATTTGTGAAATAGTTTTTAAGTACAGGGACAAGATTTAACATGATGCTCATTTGTGTTATTCTCAAATTTCCATAATGTACAATCAGGTATGTGAGGGTTTTTTTTTTTTTTTCCCCTAGGCAACAGGTGTGTTCTTGGAACAAAGTTCAACCCCCACTCTTGGCTTATGTGAGAGGCAGCAGCTGCAAGCTTACTGTCAATGACACGTGGTTCTATAAGAGAGAAAAATAAACTACTTGTTCAATGTATTAAAGTAATGGGCAGATGGATGATAGCTCCCTGTGCTTTTCTTTGTCTAGTAGAATCAGAGTCTAAACTTTCAGATAACAAGTGTTTTTCTCATTTTCTTCTCTATCTCCCTTCTTCTTTCCTTCCTCCCTCCCTCCCTCCCTCCCTCCCTTTCTTCCTTCCACCCCTACCTTCCCTCCTTAATTTTTAAAAAGCATTATGTATTCATTACCAAGAATATTCCTTTATTTGAGTTGCACTGTTTTCAGGCTAATGAATGGAAAGAAGAAAAAAGTTCACATAAATCAAGATATATTTTATTTATAATTTAACTTTGTTGTAAAAAGAATTTAAAGGAACTGTTTACAATGCAATTCAAGAGACTTAGTGTGCAGAGTCTATATTTTTTAAAAAAATAAAAATTAAATATACTTTTTTATAGTGCTCATTATTCTGTAGTAAAAAACTATATAAAATTTTGTGAGATATTACTAATAGGAGTTATACTGTGTATCTCAGAAGCACAGTGTGAATGTTAATTAATAATAACAACAAAACAATGTCTGTCAATCACTAAAGAATCATTTTTAGTGTATTGGGGTAATATTCCACTTGGTATGTTTGCCCTCAGGTACAATTGTGCCTTGGAATATAAGAAGCTCAGCTACTATCTTACTGTGTGCGAACAAGTATATTAAGCTTAAGAACATACCAGAGTAATTATAGAGCTTTGTGATATATTTGAAGGAAGCATGTCTTATTACACAGACTTTTCTAGAACTCATATATGTTAAGAAATTCCTTTCTTTAGCCAATGGGTATTTCTTCTGTTTTACTTAAGATTTTACAGTATTTATTTATTTTTAGGGAGAGGAGAAGGGAGGGAGAAAGATGGAGACAAACATCGATGTGAGAGAGAAATACTGACCAGTTGCTTCCCATATATGCCCCAACCACCACCTGACCGGGACCGAACCTGCAACCCAGGCAAGTACCCTGACCAGGAATTGAACCAGCAACCTTTTGCCTTGTGGAACGATGCCCAACCAACTGAGCCACACTGGTCAGGGCACCAATGGGTATTTCAACAGGAATATTTAATAAAAATAGAGGTCAAGAGAAGAATTTTCATTTTTCTCAGATGTGGTGAACAAATTTGTTGCAAATGTGATAAGATACGCATCTGTTTAATTACAATCCTGGAACCTCTGGTAGAACTTGAGTCACCAAATCTCCTGGAAGACTAGTGTTAGGTGTTGCATATAATCCCTAATTGGGGAAGGAGAAAAGAGAGAATCCCTTTTTATGTTTTTTAACCCCAAACCATTTTATTTAAGAATCAGATTTATCTAAATCTATACTGAAAATGGTTTTGCCAGGATTGTCTCATTCTTGAGAAATCTATAAACAGATGGATTTGGAATTCAATCCTCTGTGAGAAACAAAGGCAAATAAAAAAGAAGAAACTGGTGATAGATTTCTAGGTTTTTAATTGGTTTTGGCTATTAAATTGGATTTTTATAAATGCATGCAAATAATGACTAGCCTTAGAGAGGATGTGAAACATTTAAAAATGTATAGAAAGCATCTAAAACTGGAAAGCAGGCCTGGATATCATTATAGCACTCTACTAACCCATAGATTATCAAATTCTATGACTTTGCCTTCCTCAAGATGTACTTTATAAAAAATAATTGTAGCAAAATACAGATAGCACAAAATTTACCATCTTAACCATTTTAAGTGTACAGTTCAGTGGTGTTAAGTATATTCACACCATTATTCAACAGATCTCCACATTTTTTTCTGAAGTTAGTTAGCATTGCAAAACTGAAACTCTATACCCATTTAAAAAGTTGTCATTTCTAAATAAAATAAAATAAAATAAAAAGTTGTCATTTCTCCCTTCCTTTGCCCCTGGTGGCCATCTTTCTACTTCCTGTTTCCACGAGTTCCAGCTATGTGAGATACTTTGACTGCTCTAGATACTTCACATAGATGTAATCGTACAGTATTTGTCTTTTGTGACTGGCTAAGTTCACTCCACATGATGTCCTCAAGGTTTATCCATGTTGTAGCCTGTGTCAGAATTCTCTTCCTTTTTATGGCTGAATAATACTCCCTTGTGTGCACATACCACATTTGGCTTATCCATTCCTCCATCTACAGACACTTGGGTTATTTCAATTTTTGACTATTGTGAATAATGCTGCTATTAGCATAGATGTTCAAATATCTCTTTGAGATCCTGCTTTTAATTCTTTTGGGAGTATATCCAGAAGGGAATTGCTGGATTGTATGAAAATTCTCTTTGTCTGTTTTTGAGGAACCGCCATACTCTTTTCTATACTAACTGCACCACTTGACATTCCCAACCCACCATACAGAATGGCTCCAACATCTCCTTACCCTTTGCTAGCCTCGTTATCTTTCCACAGAAGACAGGAGAAGACAGTACTCACATGAGTCTCCACATCACCAGCAAGGATCTTACTCTTCTTTAAAAACTCGGCCACCATGTTGTTCATCAGTTTATCAAAGGCTTCCACTGAGGGTGCCACACCTTTGGAAGAAGAATAAGTTGTCATTCCCTGGTAGTTTCATGAAAAGCTGGAACTTCTTTGCCATAGGTGATATGAAAGTTTAATATCATTTATGACCTTTTCATTCTCTTCACCAAGTCATTTATTCCTTCAATCCATATTTATTAAACACTTCTCAATGGCTCAAGAAAACAATGTTTTCTTATTCTTCATCCTCCTCAGTAAGCACTTTCACCTATAAAATTTTGCTTAATTCTCCCCCAAACTCATGGGGTAAGTACCAGATTTTGCCATGTATAATGTGCACTTTTTTGCCAAAATTTTTTAGGGAAAAATAAGGATGCATATTATACATGGGTAGCACTAATTCTATATCTACATAAATGTTTTTAAATTCTTTTACTTATGCTTATATGTTAAAAGTGTATAACTCTGGAAAGCAATAATGATATCAATATGTAAAATAATACCCTAAAATACAATAACCAGTTTTGTTTCAAAATATAATTAAATTAAAAATTGACTTAAAAAATTAAAATGAAAGATTTTTTCCTGAAAGTTTTTGCCAAAAATGTGGGTGTGCATTATACACAGCAAACTATGGTAGCATCAGTTTTACTGATGAGGAAATGGAGATGCAAACAGAGCATGTGACTTGACCATAGCCAAATACCACATAAGAGGCAGATCTAAAAATAGGAACAAGCCTTATTAATCCACAGCCAGGGTCCTTTTTTTTATACTGGCCAGACCAGGTGCTGCAACAACTTTGCAAACAGTTACCAATCCTACTGTGGACAATTAAAAGGTAATACGAACTCTGGACAAGTAAGAAAGGAAGGCTGATGTCACACATTTGGTCCCTTCTTCACTTCCAGAGGGAGGAGAGGCTGCAATGGAGGGCATGAAATGACTGCTGAGTTTTGGTCTGTCAAATTATTGTAAAAGTTGAAATGACTACAGCTCAACCTGCTGTGCTCTGAATTTTTCTCCCTAAGTTTTAATTCACAGGAAAAGTTTTCTAAGTCCTGAACATCCTTAATATTGAGAAAAGTAATATTGAGAAACTCAGCACTAGAGACTACCAAAATCCCAAACAAAAGCTGGGATTCCCTTTCTCATATTGGACACAAATATCCAAGCTCATAGATCTATAAGATAAAGGTTTCATTCCTTTCCCTTTTCCCAGTTGTCCATTTCCACAGGCCCCAAGGGTGAGGGTAGTTGTTCACTACCTCTCTGCCTCCAGTCTAACTTCTAAGCAGGCTGACGAAGCTGAGCTATTGTAAAGATCAAAATATAGTGTGTACCAGCTTCTAGACCATAAAAGCAGTGCACGTCCAAAGATTCCTTATGGATCCATTTAGAAACAGATGAAACTATTCATTGCTGTGGGAGAGGCCTGAGAGGTAGGTGTCTGCTGAATATTAAAATAGTAGGAAGTTTCAGAAATGTGATGGAGGCCTCTGAGGGGAGATGGTACAATGATAAAAGGGAATATTTTTTTATTGTCCTTCATCACTCAGCTCTGCTCACACCTCCACCAGGCAGCCTCTAATGACCTCTTTCTCCCCAGCCCGCATCCTTTGAGCATCCCTCAATCAAAGCATGTGTGGTCCTGCATAGCAATGCATGGAGGCCAAAGATTCTAGAGGATTAGGACTGTGTATAATTCATCTTGGACTTCCTTGCACTTACTATGGTGCATGTCACTTGGCAGGCATGCAAAAATATTTCTTCCACTGTTGAGCCAAATTTACCTGATTGTCAGGGGAAAAATAAAACATATCATAACACCAGTATCATAGGAAGGCAGTTCTTTGATCTGTGCATAGATGGATTTGTAATGACTGGATTCCTCCTAAAAGTTTCTTTTAAATAAAAAGTAATAACTTTTTAACTTTAGTTATAGCATCATTGTAATGACCATATTTATATTTAAGGTGAGATGTTGTCCTTAAGAATTTTTTCAAAACGGAATTTAGAAAATTACCAAAGTTTACTAATTAAGAAGAAATGGAAGTGATGTTTAGGATAAGGAAAATGTCTTAAAGATGGATATCATTCAGTCATTTTATTAATTATCCTACTTACTAATTACCCTACATTATTTCAAGTAGGATAATAAATTGCTGGCTAAGTTGTTTTAAAAGACCAGACTTTAGTAACTGGTTTGGAATGATTTGCTATATAAGAAAATATTTGCTTAAATACTTACATAATCTAATTACATATCTTCTAATTTTGCTTAGCCTATTAATTTTCTCAGAATATTTTTTAATAAAGAAAAATGCAGTCTAGTAGCTCTTTGAGTAAATGAAGTTCAAATTATGGAGGGTTTTTTTTCTTTACTCAACTATACTACACGATCTCTTGGGAGTTACATTTTAGCTTCATTTTATGTATTCATGGCTTTATAGTTAAGGTTGGCAACCTTAGAGAAATGCCTTTTGTTCACCAGATGCCAAAGTAATAAGGAGACGGTTACTGAAGAGAACATAAAAATATTTTCTTACAAATAAGATTTACTGTATAGTTAACAAAAAGAGGCTTAACATGAAATCATAGATGTGTCTCAGTTGATGCGGAAACATACAGGCCCCTGGCAGACTTCCTTTAAATAACACCCTTTTCAATTCATTCAGAGCATTTGAATTTTCATTATGTTCAGGGGAAAAAACCAGCCTGTGCATTTGTGCTCACGCAGTAATTTCTGTCCCAGGGCATGTAATACAAGGCAGAGCTCCAAGTACGCCTGAAATTCTAGGAGCACCAATGTGGATCTGGCCTGGTGAAAGCTTTGTTTGAAACCCCTTCTTCCACAAGGCTTTTCTCAGCCCCCCAAAGCCTGACAGGATTCAAAATGCGTCTGATAAGGAGGAAGCTTATGTGAGACAAGAACAGAGTTGCTAAATTAAATACAGATAGCCCAGTTAAACTTGAATTTCAAATAAACAATGAATAAATCTTTAGAATAAGTGTGTACCATGCAGTACATCCTGTGCAGTATTTGGAACATATTTATATCTCCCCCCCGCCAAAAAAGCAGCTTATCGGAAATTAAAATTTCACTGGATGTCCTGTATTTTTATTTGCAAAATCTGCAACCTTAAGGAAGAAGAAATTGAAAAAATCACTGTAGATAACTTAGAGAGTTTGCCATACATGGTATCATGCTAAAGAAACAGTTAACTTTTTGTTTGCTCACATAGTTTTTAAAATTTTTTTAAAGTGTGGTTTTAGCATGTCATTTTTAAAGTATATTTTGTAGCTTATGCTATTACAGTTGCCCCAATTTTTCCTCCTCTTTATCCTTCTGCCCTGTACCACCCCCTTCCTGCTTTCCCCTCTTCCCTTTTGTTCGTGTCCAAGGTTCGTACATATAAGCTCTTTGGCTTCTCCATTTCCAATACTATTCTTAACCTCCTCCTATTTTGTGCAAGCCAATCATGCTTCTCATTCCCTGTATCGTTTTCCCCCATTCTCCGTCTCTCCTTCCCCACTGATAATCCTCCATGTGATCTCCATTTCTGTGATCCTGTTCCAGTTGTTTGCTTAGTTTTTTTTTGTTTGTTTGTTTTTTAGGTTCAGTTGTTGATGCTTGTGAGTTTGCTGTCATTTTACCATTCATAGTTCTGATCATCTTCTTTTTCTTAGATAAGTCCCTTTAACATTTCATACAATAAGGGTTTGGCGATGATGAGCTCCTTTAACTTGACCTTATCTGGGAAGCACTTTATTTGCTCTTCAGTTCTAAGTGATAGCTTCACTGGATAGTGTAATCTTGGATGTAGGTCCTTGCTTTTCATGACTTTGAATACTTCTTTCCAGTCCTTTCTTGCCTATAAGGTTTCTTTTAAGAAATCAGCTGTTAGTCTTATGGGAACTCCTTTGTAGGTAACTGTCTCCTTTTCTCTTGCTGCTTTTAAGATTCTTTCCTTATCTTTAATCTTGGGTAATGTAATTATGATGTGCTTTGGTGTATACTTCCTTGGGTCCAATCTCTTTAGGATATTTTGGGCTTCCTGGACTTTCTGGAAGTCTATTTCTTTTGCATATTGGGGAAGTCTTCCTTCATTATTTGCTCAAATAGGTTTTCAATTTCTTGCTCTTTCTTATCTCCTTCTGGCACCCCTATGATTCAGATATTGGAACATTTAAAGTTGTCCCAGAGGTTCCTCAGCCTCTCCTAATTTTTTTTGAATTCTTATTTCTTCATTCTGTTTCAGGATGTTTCTTTCTTTCTTTTGTTCCAAATCATTGATTTGAGTCCCAGTTTCTTTCCATTCACTGTTGGCTCCCTGTGTATTTTCCTTTACTCACTTTGTATAGCCTTTATTTCTTTTTTTGTTTTGCGACTGAACTCAGACATTTCTGTGAGCATCCGGATTGCCAATGTTTTGAACTTTGATAGATTGGCTATCTCTTCATCACTTAGTCTTTTTCTGGAGTTTTGATATATTCTTTCACTTGGGCCATATTTCTTTGTCTTGGCATACCTGTTAAGTTATAAGGGGCAGAGCCTTAGGTAATGACAGGCTGGGGTAACCCACTTCACTGCTTTGTGGTACTATACGTGGGGGAGGGGTCAGAAGGGGAATGATGCCGCTTGCTAGCTTTCTCAGCTCTAGCCCCACTTTCCATCACTTCCCTCAGTTCCCACAAGCAGATTTTGCCCTTTCAGGTGCTGATTCCTGTGGGTGGGCTTGTGTATGTTCTAGGATCCCATGAGCCTCTCCAACGGATGCTCTTGTGAGACTGGGAGTTTCTCCCACCACCACAACCCCCACAGGTGTTTATAGTCAGAGTTTTTGAGGCTTTATTTCCCCACACTAGAAACCTGGTTGTGCGGTTTGTCTTGCTCCCCAGTTGTTCCTTTGTGCTCATCTGAACATGAATGTGGGAAATTCCATCCACCAGCCACCTCCTTGCTGTGTGTCCTATCCCACTTAGCTTCCCATCTCCACCCCTCCTACCAGTCTGGATGAAAGTTTCTTCTTTAACTCCTTGGCTGTCAGACTTCCATGCAATTTGATTTTCTGGCAGTTCTGGTTGTTTTTTGCTTTTAATTGGTTGTTATCCTTCTTTTGGTTGTGTGAAGAAGTGAAGTGTTTCTACCTATGCCTCCCTCTTGGCTGGAAGAGCTAGCATGTAATTTAAAAGAATATTTGGTTGGGAATATTTGGTTGAGATTACATCCCAAACAATGGGATGTAATCATGTAACAAGAAAGTCATATTGAATTCACACCAGGCTTGCTTCCTTTAAAACTGTAGTTCTTAAATTTAATGATTTGTTCTTTTTAAAATTGAAATCTACAGAATAATAAATCCTTCCAGTTTACATTCTAACTAAGAACATTAGTTTCTTTTTGATAGTTAGATAATATATTTAGTAGTTGAGTGTGGAACAGCAGTATAAACACTAAAATGAAAGAGTAATGCTATTTGGCACATGGATTATGCTCTTAACAGGCAGAATGCTGGTAATTTTTGTGAAATTTTTTTCCTTTCTCTTTTTCAGAGATTGCTTGCATCTGGTTAATGTCATGGTCACACATAAAGGAAGGAATAGGGAAGTTGAAGTAAGTAGTTAGAAATACTTAAGAACTAAGTGATGGGGACAAAACTAAGCAACCCACGTAAAGACCAGTAATGGCAAGAGTTTGGGGCCCTACCTCCATTGACACCATTAAGTTCCCCACAGTTCTCAGGAGGTCGGTGTGACACCTCAGACAGCAACTCCAGTCGGCTGACGGCCTGTTCCAGTCTTTCCACCAGGCCCTGCAGCTCTGCCATTCTAGAAGAACACAGGAGCAAACGCAGGCCGTGTGAGCGACAGGCAGGATTCACAAGCTCACACCATCCCACTTAACAGCAACAAGAGGGAAATAAAAATAACTGACAAGGTCTTTAATTACTTAGAGAGTATTTTCACATGTCAGGAATATATGTGAAATGCAAAAGAATGTAAAACTTAGAACAAAACCTCTCACAAGTTTTATTGAGTTTATTTGTATTCAATTCAATGACTTTCACAAGCCCTGTATGTAAGATACAAAAATTCACTCTCTTTACACCATTATCAAGTGTTTCCTTGGGTACTTCTTTGAGCTATGATACAATCTATGCCTAGCACTTACTTAAAAGCCCAGAAATATATGTTTTGCAATTAATATTGTCAACTTTTATTGCTAAATAGTGGGAGCATATTTTAACCATTTCCAATCATTCTTTGTGTTAAAATATAATTCTTTAGGGGACACTGAACCCATGGATATCCCTTGTTTACTCAATGACTAAACCAATAGCCCAGTACAGAAGAACTGTGAGTTTGTGAAACTGTGCATCATTTAGTGGGCCAACAAAGGCCATCACCTCCACAGCAGACTGTCTTCTACTTACCATTAGCTTGTTTCAGTGCTTGTTGCTAAATTATTTTAAGTTGCAATTATTCTGAATGGTGGAGATTTCCATTTAAAACATTGAAGGTGGTTATTTCCCTTTGATGTTGGTTACTTTTAAACAAAATTCAGTTTTAGGTGGGATGGTGTTTTGGAGACAGTGATCTTTAGTTACACAATACTCTTGGTTGAGATGAACTGGCTTTGAAGCTGAATAAGGAATTGGGGGTAAAAGTGAAGCTGGGTATCTATTCAACTTCAGCTTCCCAACAGGATAGCTACACTGAGTGCATACAAAATGAGTACCTGAAAATTACTGGCCCTGGAATGTAATGTTATTAAGGCAACCTCTGAGGAATGGAACCCAAACTCATTTGGCCAGATTCATGAGATCCAGATAACAGGTACCATAACTCTGACCATACCAACCTGTGATTTTGCTCTTGGCAAAATCAGGCTGCAGCCCCAGAGAGAGTAAAACAGTCCTCATGGCGGTGTCTGTTACTTCTCACTGTTAAACACTTCCCGAACATCATTCTGAGCTGCGGAGGACTGGCAGGCCGCTGCATCAGAGACAACTCTGCCTCACAGCGTGGGTAAATGTTATTGCTCTAAGACATGTAACTATTTTCTATTTCTGCCAGGAACCAGGTAATGCACTTTTCTTTTGTATTTTGTAGTCTGTTAGTTTTGAATTTAAATGAAATGACGATTTGCCACTGTCTTTTTAAAAAACCAGGTTATACTTATCAAAACACTTGGCTAGCTCTGTAATTCTGTATCCAAATGTCAGATGGTCATCAGATACAGATGGGGAAGGTTCGCTGTCTATTTTGGAAAGTCACCTCCTCTAAAAATGCCAGCAGCTACTCTTTCAAAATATGGGGCAGTGTTCTCTGCATGTCTGAAATAAGCAACTAATCCCAAAGGGATTCAAAATTAGAAGTTTCTCATCTATTCTTTTCTTCTTAACGTCAGAGTTTTTGCTTCCATCGCAAGTGAAAAAAAAAAAGGAAGGAGAAAATTAATTGAATCCATTACGTAAGCTTGTAAGCGAACTAGGTATCCTGTAGGTGGGTGAAGGCCATTTGAGAAATGATAAAAGTCCCTCAAATCTTTTAATAGTTGCCCATCTGTTCACAGTTATCTATGTTCCCTGTTACTCAATTTGCCAAATGTTACTGCCATAGACCAAGCCCATGGTAGAAAAAAATGTGTTTGTTTTCTTAGCAAGCTTCCTATACCCCAACAGAAAAGCACCAAGCACCCCCCAGCAGCTCCAGAGCTGTTTTAGGAAGGCCTGTTACATTTCACACATAGGACTGCTGTCTCTGGCTGTGGCTTAATCAGCCTCCCAGACAAGGCCCTAACCGCACACTATCTAATAGTGCTTCACACGTTGAGAGACAACAGGAGTTAGCCTGTAAACTGCAGGGCTGGGCAGAGTGGTGTGGAATGCAGTCTAAAATGGAATCAGATGTCACTTCATGTAAAATCACCATAAAATGAAGTTATGCTGCACAGCCTCTTAAGAGGTCAAAATACAGTTCATGCAAAAAAAAAAACAAAAACAAAAAACCAAAAACAAAAACTGGAAAGATGCCTCTGGGTTTAAAATTTTAAAACAGTTTCTAGGAGAAATAGAAGGACAAATAAAGAATACACCAGGACACCAAAAACATACAAGTTAGTATTCCCAGTGAAAATGTCGGGGTCCAAGACAGCTGTGCCCTCTTCTCCCAAAATATACACACACATGCACACACACACACAGGTGTGCACACACACTTCTCCCCACATGTGCCCTCAGGTGCTAACTTGGCTCTCAAGAATGAGGAATGGACAGAGCTGTAATGCTCCAAATTCTTCCCAGGCAGCTCCATTCACACTGGTATTTCAAAATGGATTGAGCTTAGTTTTGATGAGGAGGTGGGAGCCAGGAATTAAGAATTAGGCTGAAGAAGTAGATAGGGCAGTCAAAGCAAATGCCGACAGTGAGATCAGACTCAGAAATGAGGAATGAGCCAGGGTCAGGGGACAGATGGATGAGTTTAGATTAGGAAGCCAGCGAAGGAGGGAATAATGGCAAGATGGTGGATGTAAGATGTTCAAAGAATCAAATGAGAAGCAAAGAGAAGCCAGATGTGCAGCTGGAGAATTAAGACACTGGGTTAGATGCTACTGCTCGGATTTTCTAAATAAGTAGAAGCCAACCCTGAGCTGAGGCCTCCTACAACCTACAGCTTACAGAGGGTAAGCACCAGTATCTGATCAGAGTGTGTGGGTGGGTGCAAAGAAAAAGGTGGAGGAACATGGAATTTCACAACTTTCTCTTTTTAATGTTTTAGGAAATGATACTTGGAGATTAATCTTAATTCTTTGTTTTGTATTTTTTAAGTTTTCTCTTTTCTTTATAATGGTATGTATAACTTATGCTTGTTTGTCATTTTTTTAATTTGAATTTCTCCCTCACTTTTCCTTTAAACTTTAATTTTTATTTTTATCAAAGACAAACATGAGCAGATGTAAAGAGTAGACAGTTTTTCAAGGATTATGACAAGACACAACAGTCCCCTAAATGCTGCCTTCCATTCTTTGTCTTGAGAGTTAGTAGTTACAAGTATTTTAACTGTTTACTTTAGTAACTGCCCCTTTGTCTCTAAACAATATGCTTATAGATCTACGTCTTATTTGTTTTCTTCACTTTTATGCAGTATCCATTGAGTTCTTACCAAAAAAAAGAGGGTTTACCTTTTTCTTGCCCCGTCCCTACCAGCACAAACATGTATATTTCCTTTCAGCCCATCTTCGCAAAAGTGTTATATCCCAATTTTTGTGTGACCAATGATGAGTGTTAACACAATTATGACTATTCACTGCTGAACCATCACATGTACTAAGATTATTTTTCATATTTTGCACAACTCGTTTTCCTACAGCCATGTTTTTCAGCTTCTCAGTTTTCTATACACTTAAAAATTAATCATCTCCAAACTCTTGCTCCAGTTGTGTAAGACCCCTTTCAATGGGACCAAACACATGTGAAATTCTTAGATCTTCCTTCTCAGAGGTACCTCTTCTGCAGACTTCAATTGCATGACTGCTACACGTCTATAAACTGGCGTCTGCCTTCACCTTCAATGAAGGTGAAGAGAGAAATGATCATTCTAAGGATTTATCTCCCCCACCCCCTTATGTGGTATTACCTATTTTCTGGACTCTATCCTCCTCTTTTTTAGTATATTTCCTTAATTGGAAAGAGCATTGTCTTGTGAAAAATAGTATATGAAAGGTCAAATATTTTGAGATCTTGCAAGCCTGAAAGGATCTTTATTTTGCTCTCACACTTGATTGGTGGTTTGGGTGAGTACAGAGTTCCAGGCTGGAAATTTTCCTCAGAATTTTAAAGGCATTGCTTCAATGTCTTCTAGCTCCCTACATTGCTATTTAGAAGTTCAAGCCATTCTGATTCTTCATCCTAGGGATGTAACCTGTGTTCTCCTCCCTGGAGGAAGTTTCTGGGATCTTCCCTTTGTCCCCAGTGTTTGGAACTTTCATGATGATATGCTTTGTTGTTGAACAAATATAAATGATTTTCAAGAGGTATAGAAAAGGTAGGAAAATGGGCATTGCATATTGTATGTCTCTGGGTGAGTTTATAAACCAAATTTTGGTGGTTTTTTTTTCAGATAAAGAAGTTAGCATTCTAAATATTTAAACAATTAAAACATCTCTCACACCAATTTCATCCACTGCAACAAGGATATAGGCAGCATTTGCAGAAGTATCTCTGAGAATAATAAGGTGTGTGAAAACATAATCTAGGAGAAAAGACAGCTATCATAATTAAATTTATTTTTGTTTCATTGGTCCTTTAATAGAAACCATCCTCAAAGTACATATATTTGGTTCCTAACACTGTCCAATGCTCTGTCTACTCTCCAATGTTATACCAATGGTACCACAACTATGCTTAAAGCACTAAGAGAGAGAGCACATTTCTATTTTTCTCAGCAGCTTCTCACACTTTCAAACATTTTATAAGATCTCAATTTTTTTCTGACATCTTAGAGTAGGATGGTATAGAGGCTTTGGAGTCACCAACTGGAAGACATTGGGCAAAGAGCTTAATTTCGCTTTGTTTTAGTTGTTGCCTGTACATAAGGTTGCTAGGAGTATGCGTATGAATACACACTAAGTCTGGCACAAGGTCAGTGATAAACTCACTGGCTACTGTTAGAAGACATCCCATCTCATTTTGTTTTCCGCAGGCATAGTTATATCTACATACCACTATCTCCACTCCTCATGGATTTGAAACGCTCAGCAATCATCTAGAAGATCTGGCCAAGGAAAATGACTACCCAAAAGTTTTAGATCAGTACACTCATTATCT